TGCGATCATGGCGACCGTATCGGGGGAAGAGATGGCGAAACAAATAGGCGAGATCGAGGAGACGTTAGGAGGATTCACTTCGCAGCTGAAGTTCTTATCGGGAGGTTACAAGGTTCTTTCCGACGCATCGACGGCGGCGGAGAACCGTTTAAACACGGTGGACGCGACATTACAGACGTTAGTGAAGACGATCGAGAAATTAACGTCCGCGGTTCACGGAAAAGCTCCGATTCAACATCCACATAGCTCAAAATCGTCCGATCAGGTAAACGCAACGAATCTGGGAATCAATCTGGACGAAAATCCGTTAGGTTATCGGACTGTAGATTCTGCGTTGACTAATAAGGATCGATTGCTTAAGAAAGTGGATATGCCGTTGTTGAGTGGTGCGCATCCTTATTCTTGGATTGCGAGAGCAGAGAGGTTCTTTCGGATTGGTCAGCATTCGATGCAATCAAGGATGGAGATCGTTTCGCTGAGCCTTGAAGAAGATGCTTTGAGCTGGTATAATTACGAAGTTGAAATCAGGCCTTTTTATGATTGGTCAGACTTCAAGAAGAGGATGTTGGCCAGATTTGCTGAATCTTTTGAACGTACTCCGGGAAAAAGATTGTTTGGGATACAGCAAACAGGCACAGCAGCGGAGTATGTGGTGGATATTTTTTTTCAACGGGTTAAAAAGGGAGTTGAAAGAAGTAATCAAAATGAAAGAACCGGTAGGATTACCTGATCATATTGCTACGATATTGAAGATGGAAGATAGTGATTTTTGCAAGATGATTATGGGTTCTAAACAACATGAACAACGTTCGGTTAAGCAGGGATCCAATGTTAACTTCCGTTCTTCTCAGTTTGCTAATCAGTTGACTTGGAAAAGCAAACAACAGTCGGGCGAGTCTAATGGTTCTGGGATCAGACAAGGGGAGCGTCCTGTGCACCAGAGTCAAGGACAAAATAATGGAGGAAATCAAAATCAAATGAAGCTATCAGAAGCAGAGTACGAGTACAAAAAGAGAAATGGCCTTTGCTATAAATGTCCTGAGAGATGGTCTAAGTCACATGTATGCAAGAACAAGGAGTTGCAGTTGTTGTTGGTGTTAGAAGAACGTGAAGGTGATCAACAGGACGAAGTTTTTCATGATTCACATGAAGACATCAATGACGTTGTGGCTGAGATTATGGAGTTGTCGTTATACTCTTTTCTGGGATTGTCTACTCCTAAGACTATCAAAATGTGGGGATCTATTGGAAAGGTCTGAGTGCTGGTGTTGATAGACAGTGGAGCGAGCCACAATTTCATTTCTCCTACCATGGTGAAGTCTGCTAATTTGCAGGTGACTGAGGATGATAATTTGAAGGTGTTAGTTGGTACTGGTATCACAGTTCAGGGTTCTGGTCTGTGTAAAGAAGTACAATTACATATTCAGTCTTACGTGTTGTCAAGTGAGTTTGTGATACTGGAACCAGGAAGTGTTGATGTCATTTTGGGAGTTCAATGGTTACGTACTCTAGGACGTTGTGAAGTAGACTGGGAATCTCATGAATTTTCCTTTGTGAAGAATGGTACGCGTATTACTCTACATGGTGACACGAATATTCAGTGTGCAAACAAGATGTTGGATGAGTTATCAGTTGAGAAGGAGGTCTTGAGTTTGGAGAACGACAGACTGTCTACTCCAACGGTCTCTCGGGAGTTTGTGCATATATTGGATTCGTTTTCACATCTTTTTGTGGAGCCTACACAACTACCGCCATACCGTGGCCACGAACATTCTATCAAACTCTTACCTAATACAAGACCGGTGTGTATGAGACCATATCGCTATCCTCATGCGCATATGGAAGCAATGGAGAAATTGGTCACACAGATGCTTGAGTCAGGAGTGATCAGGCGTAGCAGAAGTCTGTATGCTAGTCCTGTGTTATTAGTGAAGAAAAAGGATGGGTCTTGGAGGTTTTGTGTCGATTACAGGGGGCTTAACAAGGTGACTATTGCTGACAAGTTCCCAATTCCTGTTATTGACCAACTCTTGGATGAATTAGAGGGTGCTACTGTTTTCTCAAAGTTGGACCTGCGATCAGGGTATCATCAGATTCGTATGGAAGAGAATGATATTGAGAAAATGGCTTTCCGCACACATGAGGGCCACTATGAGTTCGTTGTAATGCCGTTTGGATTATCGAATGCATCGGCAACATTTCAGTCACTTATGAATGACATCTTCAGGCCGTTCCTCCGGAAGTTTGTGTTGGTCTTATTCGACGACATTTTGGTCTATAGTAAGACTGAAAAAGAGCATCAACAACATTTGAAAGTGGTGTTGTCAATATTGGAGAAACAGTCGCTGTTGGCAAATCAAAAGAAATGCTCATTTGCTCCGAAGGAGATCGACTATTTGGGCCATATAATTTCTGCAGACGGTGTTGCTACGGATCAATCTAAAACATCTGCAATACGCGACTGGCCTGTACCAAAGACAGTAAAAGAACTGCGTAGCTTCTTGGGGTTAACAGGCTATTATCGCAATTTTGTGAAGAGTTATGGCGTGATAGCTAGACCACTCACGGAATTGCTAAAGAAGGATAATTTTGATTGGGATTTTAGAACTCAGAAGGCTTTTGCCACGTTGAAGGAGAGTATGATATCGGCACCAGTGTTGGCTTTACCAAACTTTCAAGAAGAATTTGTGGTTGAAACTGACGCGTCTGGTTATGGTTTGGGTGCTGTCCTAATGCAGAAGCAACGACCGATTGCTTACTTCAGTCGAGGGTTAACAAATAGGGGACAGATTAAGCCGGTATATGAACGTGAACTAATGGCCATTGTTATGGCAGTACAAAAGTGGAAGCATTACCTCTTAGGACGGAAGTTTACAATTCACACGGATCAGAAGAGCCTCAAGTTCTTGTTGGATCAACGTGATATCTCTTTGGATTATCAGAAGTGGTTGACTAAGCTTTTGGGTTACGAGTTTGAGATCATCTATAAGGCAGGTGTTGAAAATAAGGTGGCAGATGGGTTATCTAGGATTAACCGTGAGCCTACATTTGGTTGTCTGGAGTTGTTGACTGCTCTGACGTCAACTACAGCCTTCCAGATGCAAGACATTTTTGACGAGATTGATAATGATGAAGGTATTCGACAACAAGTTCAGGAGATGGTTGAAGGGAAATCTGAGAAGCTGGGGTATGCGATCAAATGTGGCCGATTGTTCTATAAAGATAGGCTGGTTTTACCAAAAACATCAAAGCATATTGGCGTCATCTTGAGAGAGTATCATGATGGTTTATCAGGGGGTCATTCAGGGGTGTTGAAAACGATTAAAAGGATTCAACGTCTGTTTCACTGGCCTAATTTGAAGAAGGATGTCCAACGCTATGTTGCCGAGTGTCAAATCTGTCAAACTCATAAACACTCAACGTTGCATCCAGCAGGGTTATTACAACCTATTGCCTTGCCAAATCAAATTTGGGAGGAGTTGAGCATGGATTTTGTTGAAGGACTTCCAAAGTCTCACGGAATGAGTGTCATATTTGTTGTGGTGGATAGGTTGACCAAATATGCTCATTTTATGAGTCTTAAGCATCCTTATACGGCTGCTGGTGTTGCAGAGAAGTTTGTACGTGAAGTGGTGCGTTTACATGGATATCCAACGTCTATCATATCGAATAGAGACCGAGTATTTTTGAGTGGCTTTTGGCGAGAGAGTTTCCGTCTGGCTGGCACCACTTTGAAGTTTAGCACAGCCTATCATCCTCAGACTGACGGCCAAACGGAAGTGATCAATAGGTGCTTGGAGTCTTATTTACGATGTTTCACGTCGTCACATCCTAAGAATTGGTCTCAGTATTTGTCTTGGGCAGAATACTGGTATAATTCTTCGTTTCATACATCGCTCAAAACTTCTCCTTTTGAGGTGGTGTATGGGAGAAAGCCTCCGGAGTTGTTGAGGTTTGAAGAAGGTTCTACACAGAATTATGAGTTGGAGGAACAACTGAAGCAATGTGATGATGTTGAACGATATTAAACTTCACTTGCTACGAGCTCAGGAACTAATGAAGAACAATGCAGACAAGAGTCGTCGTGATCTCCAGTTTGAAGTGGGTTCTTTAGTTTTTCTGAAACTCAGACCATACAGACAGACATCTGTGTCTAAACGGGTGAATCAGAAACTATCAGCGAAGTTTTATGGCCCTTTTAAGCTGCTAGAGAGAATTGGGTCTGTGGCTTATCGGCTGGAGCTTCCGAGTTCTTCTAAGATTCACCCAGTGTTTCACGTTTCTCAATTGAAACCTGTGTTGGGGTCTGGTCATGTGGTGATGCCTTTACCAGATACATTGAGTGCCGAGGAAGAATTGGTTTTATATCCTGAAGAAGTGTTAGAAGCTCGCTATGATTCTGAAGGGTATTTGGAGGTTTTGATTCAATGGAGGGGTTTGCCTAGTACTGAACAGTCTTGGATGCGGGTTACCGAGTTTGTGCATCAGTTTCCTTCATTTGAGCTTGAGGGCAAGCTCAGTCTTAGCGAAGGGGGTATTGATATGGCCCATAGAGGTTACGTGAGAAAGAAGAAAAGAGTTGGAGCACGTGAGGGAGAGGTGGCCAAAACGGTTACGGTTGTTAATGAAGTCAGTTGAGTCAGTTAGAGAATTGCTGAGCTGGAAGGGAGGGGAACTACTTTTACGAGTTAGTATAAATAGCAATTGTATTGTAACAGATTCTTTACGCATACATTGAGAGTGTGTGAGGACTTGTTATCTCGAGTGTGAGATACAAGTATTAGGCTTAATACTCCGACTTGTGGAGGATTAAGAGGGGTGGTTGGGTGGAATTACAAATAAGAATACAAAAGTCTTATCATATGGTTTGTAGATTTGCCCTTTGTTTATGTGAAAAAGGTTCAAGCTTTGTGGGAAGGGTTTAACGTTTGTTATCTATGTCTAAACTCTCTCTCTCTCTCTCTCTCTCTCTCTCTCTCTCTCTCTCTCTCTCTGTTTCCATGGCAGGTATGTGGGCGTAGCTACTCGTTTGTTACAGTTTACTCTGAGACTGCTCCGGAGAGGCTACCCTGTATTAAGTTTCTGATTGGTGTCTTATCAAGAGCAGCACGTTACATGAAGTTGATTGTTCCTTGGATTGCTGTGATTCTCTTCAACACATACTTGGTTTCTTTCCATCCTTGAGTCCAAGAACTTGCTGCAGCTGATGCTGACTTCCAGAGTGATTCTTGGATGTCTAGGAAACTCGCTTATTTGAGCCCTGGCCTGTTATACAACTGTTTCGTCGTGTCTTTCATCACTATGACCACTGCAATGAGGATAGATATAGGAGATGTCGATATCAGGAGATTTGGCCGAGTCGTGCAGGTTTTATGGAAGCATATGACGACTCTTTGTGTTTAGTATTTTCATAAGCTCACAGACATCCCAGGCCTACCTCTTCAACCTATTGTGCTTCCTCAAAACGCGTAAATTCATGAATTTGGGGTTATCCGGCAGCTGCTTTTCTTTCTAGATGATGATGCCTTTGCTGTAAGTCTCCCCCCCCCCCCCAATATGATCTCTGTTGGTTCATCTATCTATTATCTTTGACAAGTTGCGTTTTGTTCTTTACAGCTTCTTTCCATCAGCGTATATGTGTCCACCCTCTTAGTTCTTATGCCAGTTTGGATTGGATGGGTTGTATTAGCAATTGTTGGAAACAACTTTCTGTCTGGAAACTCTCCTGTTATGCTTGGATACATGGTGATGCTGTCAACTTGCTTTGCTTACTTCACTCTCCCTCTAATCCCATTCCCAGCCATAGTCCGGTGGTTTTCTCTGGGAGTTCACTTCATAGCACTGAAACTGCCATGTCTTTTTGTGGGTTTCCTCAGTAAAATCCTGCAAAACCCTTCAAAGTCAAACCTCATTTCCAGTCATAGTCCAGTGGGTTTCTTTGGGATTTCACTACATAGCAGTGATATTGCCACCTCTCTTGTGGATTCTCATTAAGGATACTTTTGTCTTATGTTTTAAAATTGGTGCCCTTGGATAATTGGCTATTGGCTCGAAATCTGCACCTCTCCTCTGTTTGGAACCAGTTTTTTCCGGAGGTTTGAGACTCTTTCAGAGTTACCATGCATGACGACCCTACGTTGGTGTTCTGGAACCGTTTGCTTGTTGGTTGCGGAGTTTTTCATGGAACGTATCCAAAAGGTAAGAGGTTTAAATTTTGTTTGTTATCTGTTCTCTTTTTTCTCCTCATTTTTCTTCTTCATTTGGCAGATCATTCATAAACGAGCCTTTTGGTATCTCTTGGATGTCACAGATCCAGACTACGAGATCACCAAAATGAACTTTGGTTACACTTTCTTTTCGCTTGCTTCTCATGGGGTATTGTTGGTGATTATGTTTCACTTACCAATTAGGACAACTACACTTATCAGCCCATCTTTTTTCCCTCTTGAGTTATGGTAAGCTTTCTGCATTTGCTTCCCCTTTGAACCTTACCTTGTATCATTTTTAATTTCTTGTAACTTGAACAAAACGCAGGGTCATGGAAGAAAAGGTTTCTTTTCGTGCACGCTTTGTTAATATAAGACTACTGATGGCATCCCCAAAATGGTTGATAGGACTTACTGAGCAACCTGTGGAACTCATTGTTAAGAACTGGATCATCACTGTTAGTTCTTGGCTTAAACTGGATGATTTCCTGCTGGTTGTGCCCAGAGGAGAGGTCTTTCACCGTGCTGATCAAAATGTGAGACCAATGATGCTACCGAGAAGTTTTCTTCTATTTTACTCCCTAGCTGAAGGCTCCATGGTCACTTTGCACGGATCTCAGAATGCTGAAGATGATATTGAAGACCAAAGAGATAATAGGTAATTTAACTGATACAAACAAGCTTTTAAGTAAAAAAAAATAGTTGAATTGTTCTGATAAGCTGCACTATTAGGTTTCTGCTGAGGATTGTTCTGATGTTGGTGCTAGCTGCTTTGAGTCTGTTCATCGTTAGTACAGCCTTCATGGCTTTACCTATTTTTCTGGGGAGAGGTTTCCTTGACTCTATCTCTTTCCTCATGCTACGATATTATGGACTCAAACGTGACGGTGGGTGTGTTGTTATTTTTCTTGTTTATTATAGACCTTTCTTCTACATGCCTCTAACCTTTTAATCTCGGTGATTTGTGTGAAGATCTTTGTGCTTTTTGGATTGGATATAATACCTTGGGAGTGATCTATGCCGCCACTTTCTATGTATATGATCAAATTCACAAGGGAAGAACCGATTTGCTTCTCAAAGATGTCTTCGAATGGATACGAAATGGATCGCTTTTCTCCATCTGGGTAAGAAAAGAACCTTCTTCCATTTTTGCACAAAAACGCTCTTGAAAATCATGACTTGTGACTTGAAAAATCTTGTGAAACAGATCACTGTGATACCGGGACTGCTCGGTCTACTTATCGACCTTATGATCATTATCCCAACACGAGTACCACTAAATGAAGCACTGGTCTATTTCTTGATCCGAGATTGGCTGATAGGAGTAGTGGTGCTTCACATATGGGTCTTTCTGGTAAAGATAAACATCAAGAACTCAGTTTTTCTTTCATAGCAAACTAACTAACGTATCTCTTTCTCCTTCTCCTCACAGACACTGCTCACACCAATCAACTGTATTGCAACTGAGGCATGGAGAAGAAAGCTCGAGAGAATCAGAACTGTTGGAATTGATGGACTTCCTTGGATTTGGCTGCTTCGAGAGGTGATCGGTTCCATTCTAACCACACTTATTATTAAGTTAGATGGCTTCCAACTTAAAACCAATTGGTGATAATTGGAGTGACCCATCTATCTTATATATTGCTAGAGATCCCTTCCAACAACCGATGTGGGACTTTAGTCCCTAATACGCCCCCTCGAGATGATGGCTCTTTGGCGTCAATCTCGGAATGTTCGGACAAGGATCGATGGGCCGACTTTGGGCTGGATCGATAAGGATCGGGTTGGATTGCATGTATCGTGGGCTCTGATACCATATTAAGTTAGATGGGCTTCCAACTTAAAACCAATTGGTTTTAAGTTGGAAGCCCATCTAACTTAATACTTATAATCACACTCTCCATCCCTTACCTGCTCGTGAAGTATCTGTTTCCATTGCTTGGGTTTGAAGAAAGCGTCAATTCAGCAACTGAGAGGCTTATATGGCCGGCGTTATTAGCCTTGATAGCGGTTTTGTTCTTGGTCAAGCTAACACGTGAAGTCATCATCTACCTTCACCAATTGGTATTCAATGAACGGTACATGGTGGGTGAAAGAGTGGACAATTTGACTGAAGACAATATAGAGCTGCGTATATAAATCCATGGAGTGTGTGACAAACAATGACTCTTTTGTTGATAGAGGAATCAAAAACATGTTAAGTCACTTTGTCAGTCTTTAGTATTGATTTGGTTTGTAACTTTGACAGTAACTAGAGGAAACCAAATTAGAGATATAATATGAACCAAGCCGGTACAAAATTTGGGTTTTATCTCGGTTTAGCAAACGCCAATATTAACCAACGCTTTATTTTTTGTTTTTTTTTTTATTTAATCCATCCTCCTTGAAGTTGTCAAATATTACCACTCGTTCCTTTGTGCAGAGCAAGCTTATCAATGTTTGATTTACTGAAACAGTGTTGGCTCATTGGAAGGATACGGAGGAGATTTAAGCTGTCGATCTTTTGCATATTTTCCGGTTTGCGTTTGGTTTAGGACTTTGATTTCATCTTTGTAGTATTATGTTGGAGTCATAGCTAATTCACTGTTAATGAATATGTTCTTCCTGTGATCTTTAGATTCCTCCAAGAGGTAGGAGTCAACAGTTAGACAAAACAAGTTAAGTGCTATGAACCTGCCACCATGAATATATCTTGGATATTTCCCTGCTCTCTCTACTGCTGAGGTTAGTAGCTTTTATCTTTTTATTTTGTGAAGTTGTATATTTAGAGAAATGATGTTATTATAAAGGTTTCTCTCATGGCGATACAATATGATTTACACATTTGTGTGTTTTCAGGTTAAGGAGCGAATAAGTTCAGCCTTCATTGGTGATTTACCTGAATCCTTTGGCTCTTATGATGATGGCATAGTCTTGACTGACCATTCTCTTTGCATATAAGTTTTGTTAATAACTCGTAAATGTAAAATGAATCAGAATTAGAAATTGATAAAAAAAAAAAAATTTGCAGAGCAAGGGGGAAGTAAAGAACGTGAGTTACCGCACCAATAGATCTTCTAACATACATAATAAACAACTAGATTTTGACCCGCGCTTGAGAAACGTGGGTTTTGTTTCGGTTGTAACAAAATGTATAAAATGATCCGATTTCTATTATATGATAGTTTTATATGCAAAATTTGATGTATATTTAACGTTTTAGTAGGGTCTTTTCATTTAGTTTGCATAACCGAGTCAGCTTTTGGTTGAACAGAGAATCAGAAAATTAATTGTTGTGAGAGTTTGAAGAATTAAAACACATATTAGATTGAAACCAAAATTGAAGGGGTCCATGACCTATAATAAACTTGAAAAATCAATACTATTAAAATACCCAAAATTGTATTACAAATTTGTACTTAAATCCAATAAATATGTTAATCGAATTATATAGTTTATTTATGTTTCAGCAATTTTGTTTTGACCTGCGCTTGAGAAATTTATAATAGGTAGGGAGACTAACTTTATAATATTAACCATAAAATTTTTTTAATGGTTTTCACGAGACTGAACTTCGACTTATTCTTTTGTTTCCCATCACTACACCCTATGGTTTCCAGATCACCCAAGTCTTGAACTTGTCCAATAACATCTAGATAAAAGTATACTCATGTTAGATAGATACACAACAATGGAGATAAGATATAAAAATGGGAGAAAACTGACCAAGAAGAAAATTATTAACATTTATGATTCAAAATAATATAGTTTTAAAAATAGAAAATTGTTCCATAAATATAGGGAAGAATATTATCATTTAGGTTTTGACCCGCGCTTAGAAAACATTATCATTTAAGTTACACTTTTACAAAATGAAGATATCTAAATCATAAATCTATACAAAACGATAAACTTACATTTGCATCACAAAGGATTAGTTCCATGGTCTCCCCTATGTCTTTCATGAAATGTCTCCATGTATGAAAGATTTTGACTTGGATGCGACATGCAGTCTTCCTCGGTTTTATATCACGACAACTGCAAATTATTCGCCATTTTTGTTTTAAGTTTTTCAATGAATGATGAATATAGTGGTTAAAAGAGGCTATATTTATAATAGGTAGGGACGATATACATTTAAGTTACGCAAATGTAGGAAATAATATTAGACGATTTTAAAAAATATCTCTTTCGAGGAATAAGGAATATTTCTTGAAGATATTTTGAATTAGTTAAGAAGTTTAAAGTTTAACAGTTAATAGTAATACAACTACGGTAAGTTACCGAAATTTATGGAGACCAAACAAAGAATAACTAACTACGATATTGATTGTGGTTAATTTATAAAATTATAGATGAAGCAATTCATTTATTTTAGTACGAAGATAATTATAGAAAATAGTTTTTGCAATATTTTCTTAACAAAACGTATCTCATCCATTAAATGTCACCATGAGAATGATGATATATCGACATATGAAGAAAAGTTAATACAAAAATATTTAAATTTATCTTGCATATAAAAAATTTAGTTATTATTCAATAACAATCTTAATATATTATTTAAATATTTTAAAAATCAGATATCAAAGATATTACCAAGATCTTTTCTAATATTGCATTTTGACAATATCTTTTGATATCTTTTTCAGTAAAATATAAATATTTATTGTTTTAATATTTTGAAAATATCTTTTAATATCTTTTTCAGTAAAATAAAAATATTTATTGTTTAATATTTATTTATTCATATTCATAATTAAATTACTACAATAAATAATATATATATAATAACTTAATTAAAATTATTTTATAAACTATAAATTAAAATAATTACATATTCATGACAACATATATTCATAGAGTTTATAACATAATTCAATTTATTAATGTATAATATTAAATATATATTAAAATATATATTAAAAGAATAAAAATTATATTTAATATAATATCTAAATTACTATATTCAAATATAATTTAGTATATTTTTATATAATAAAAAATATTATTTTTTGATTTTATTATACAATATATTGAATTATATATTATGATTTAAAATTACAATTTATTTTATAAATATGTAAACATTTATAAGTATGAGAGCATCTGAACACCATATAATTAATTTATATTATAATAAATATTTATGTAGTCAATCTATGGATTAAAATCGTAATATAAAGTTCATAAGACAATATAAATGTATGAAATATAATATGGAATATGGTTAGAGTAATTAATGGGAAGAAAGAGAATAAATCGGATATATTTAATATGTGATATGATTTGTAACAATTGATATATATATAGATGTAAAACCAAAAAATAAATTACCAAAATGTCATTAATGAGGGTGCACACAACTTCCATTTATCGATTTTTCAAGGGTATCTTCACTTTTAATAGTATAGATTCTCATTTCAACTCCAGAATCACTATAAATTTCTTACGTTTAGAACATGAAACAATAGAGCAAAATAACGCACTCTTCATTTACCAAATACAATTTTCAAAAATATTTTTTGAAGAAGACCGGTTCTGTTCCTAAGGCAAAAACTTAACCGGCCAAGCATCAAGTTCACGGGTCGAATCTGTCGTTCCATCCTGCTTAAAAAATGAGGGGCTAAAAAAAAGTCAAAACTCAAGAAGTTAGTTAAAAAGTCTGCGTCGAATCTCCCTATTAATAGCTGCCGCTTCTGCTTACCAACTAAAAGCAAAAAGCTCATTTAAAAGTTCACGGATCTTCGGTGAGCGATCATCACAAATCCAAGAGAAGACGAACGTAGAAAATCTCAGTTGAATCAATAATCCTTTTCTTCAATCTCTCTGTTTCTGCCGTGTTTCTTACCAGTTAATTACTATGTCTGGTCAGTCCCTTTCTCCTTCTTCCCCTTCTGTGTTTTCTCCGACATAACACATATTGTGAACCATTTGTGTTCTGTGTTGAATTATGCTTCAGGTTTTTTTTTGTTTTCCCGACATACCCAGATGATGAATCAGTTGTGTTCTGTCTCCGTCTGGTCATTGTTTTAAAATTTGATGTTGATTTTTGGATCATTTTCTAGGGTTTATGATTTGGTGATTAGGTTTATGCTTTAGGATTCGTTTTCCACAGAATAAAGTTGAAATTTTGAAGTTAATTTATTGGATTTACAGGTAATCAAGAACCAATCTTGGTGAAGGAAGAGAGTGTGGAAGATATTCAAATCTCCACTATTGAAGCTCAAAAGCTGGCAATGGTGGGTTCTTGTGTCCATCAACATCTTCTTCCTCATTGGCGGTCAAGCTGCTTCTGTCCTTCTTGGTAGATGAAGGTGGAAACAGCAAATGGATGGCCACTCTTGTTCAAACCGCTGCTTTTCCCATCCTCTACATCCCTCTTCTGCTCCTTCCTTCTTCTTCTTCGGATCCTGCTTCTTGCTCCCTTAAAACCATTCTCTTGATCTATGTTCTGATCGGTGTCATTATCGCTGGAGACAACATGCTCTACTCTGTTGGACTTTTCTACCTCTCTGCATCGACTTATTCGCTCATTTGCGCTACCCAGTTAGCGTTTAATGCGGTCTTCTCTTATTTCATCAATGCACAGAAGTTCACTGCTTTGATTCTCAACTCAGTTGTGCTCCTCCTCTTCTCTGCTGCTGCTTTGATTGCGCTTAACGACGATGCGGACACCCCTTCTAGTGTCTCTAGGTCCAAGTACATTGTTGGGTTCGTGTGTACACTCGCTGCATCAGCTCTCTACTCTCTATTGTTCTCCCTCATGCAGTTCTCCTTTGAGAAGATTCTGAAGAAAGAGACGTTTTCAGTGGTTCTCGAGATGCAAATCTTCACTTGTCTAGTGGCGACCTGTGTCGTGGTTATCAGGATTTTTGCTAGCGGGGAGTGGAGAACGCTGCACGGAGAAATGGAAGGGTATCATAAAGGTAAAGCCTCTTATGTAATGTCTCTGGTCGGGACAGCAGTTACATGGCAAGTGTGTTCTGTAGGAGTTGTGGGTTTGATATTTCTGGTGACGTCGCTCTTCTCAAACGTTATTAGTATGCTCTCTTTAGCTGTGACACCACTCGCGGCTTTGGCTGTGTACCATGATAAGATGAGTGGGGTTAAGGTTATGGTGATGCTGATCGCTCTTTGGGGTTTCTCTTCTTATGTTTACCAGAATCATTTTGATGACTGTTGAATCTGAGTTTGTTCGATCGATAAACAAAGAAACTAAACTCGATTTGTTGGGACTTAAGAAGACGTTTTATTAATCAATATGTGATGACGAAAGTGATTACAAAGAGATTCTGAGAAAACGGGAAGGTCGGAGTTCTTAAGGAAGCTCCGACGAGAATACAAGGGAGATCGATCAGTCATTAAACCCTAGATCTTGCCGTAAGTATTCTTGTGTCTATTTGCGGATCCCCTTTCCTTTCGCTATTGTCTCCCTTTTATACTATTGAGTCTGTTCTCGTCTTCGTTCGCCCTAAAGTTTGTCCGAAGGGCCCAAAATCGGCCTTGAGCTCGATGGGCTTTTGGGCCAGAGACAATCTGCAGAAGTAGGCTCGATTCGGTTAGCTGGCCGGTTAATGAATCAAACCGGTCCTTCGAACTTCCGGTTCAATCTCCCGTTTCAATCGAACTTTAATCGACCCGGCTGCAGATGGGCCGAAGCCTGTTATCCGATGGGCCTTGTGGGAGGGTGTTCGATCCCTCTCCAACAGTAACTCCCCCCAGTCCGCTTGTAAGAAACTCATTTTCTTGGAAGGGGAATTCGAAAAATTGGTCTCGGAGGATAACATGCCTGAGTTACCTATATTTCTGGATGGACGACCGCTCCGTCTTAACTCTTACTGGCTTGACTTCAACCGGCCCGATGTGTATGTATGTGACTCAGCGTGTTCGATTGGTTACTCCTCAGGCTAATTTATCGATGACTTGATCTGGATCGACCTTATCTCGTTTAATTTTCAAACGAGGGGGTAACCGTTTCAGAGGGAAACCAATGGGTATTTTAGGCCCATTAGGTTTAATAATTGCTTCAGACCTCGATCTCCGTGAGTTCCCTTATAAATATAATGTTCTTCTCTTATCCCTTTCATTCTTCTTCACCCCAAGGTATTCTTCTTTCTCTCCTCTCTTTCTTTTTCTTCTCTTTTATTATTTTTTGGTTAGATGAGGAAACTCTTGTTGCTCTCCGCCGGAGGTGTATGCACTATTCCGATCCGGAGCTTCCCCCCCCCCCCGAGACATATCCGTGACCGATCCGGCCGACCGATGAATGCCTCTAGACGGGAATTGACGTCGGCTGAGAAGGGGAAGGGGGTTCGGCCTTCTTCGAGTTCGTCAGAGAGGCTGCCGCTTGAACCAAATTCCCGGCGCTCGGCAAACGGAGCTTGCCGCGGCTCCTCGGTCGACGACGCTTGCCCGGACCATGGTCGAATCGATGATGTCAGCGGATCTTCTCGGGATGAAGGGAACGGGCGATGTTCAATTGATGATGTTGAGATAGATGGATTTTAGGAGTTGGAGGGAGATTCACCGGAGGCGGGCGATATCAAGCGATCTCCGGGCCTTGGTCGAATCGACGACGTTGGCGGCTCTTCTCGGGATGACGAGAATAGGCGATGTTTGATTGATGATGTGGAGATGGATAGGTTGGAGGGATTGGAGGAAGATTCTTCGAAAGTGAGCGAGATCGAGCGAGGACGCGGGATCCCTGGCTGTTGTAAGCGGAGCCATGTCAGGAGATCAAGGGAGTGACAGTGTGGCGGGGAGCGATGTTCTCGCGGGTGATCACGCGGCAGAGGATGAGGTAAAACAACACGAAATCGGGCGCGGAGAGGTTGAGCGATCTTCGATGGGGTCTTCGGCGAGTCAACGATCGATTCCTTACTATTACCACACGAATGGGGTGATTGAACAGTTGCCGGATATCCCGTTGAGTCAGATTCGACCGTCCAAGATAAAGGGGCAGAATTGGGCTAATGATTTGCCTACATGGTCTACCGAGAAGAGTGTTGCTATGCTGTTGAGGGGGCGCATGGCGTTCGGCGTTACCTTCGTCGTCCCTCACTCTGACCAACGTCCGTGGACTCCACCTGTAGGCTTCCATTGCGTTTATGAGTCTTTCTTTGAAAGGGATTCAAAGTTATGGTTCCCTATCCCTCGTCTGATTACTGCGTATTGTGCGCGTCGGGACGTTCCGATGTCTCAGTTAATGAACGGGGTAACGAGGTTTGCTGTCGCTTTGTCGGTGATGGCGGCTGAAGTGGATGTTTCGATGAGTGTTCGGATCTTTGAGGAGTTAACACAAATACAACCGAAGGCGTGCGATTTGTATGCACTGCAAATGCGTGCGGGGCTGCATATCCTATCCGGCCATCCCACAAAGACCACGCATTGGCAGTGTTCTTACTTTTATATAAAATCCGATGGGGCTGCTTTCGAAGAGCCGCCAGGCGATCGATTTCGCACTTCATGGAACTACCATATTGGTAGTTTACAGTGCTTTGCTACTATTGTTGGAATTTATAGTTGACAATATGTCTTTTTCTTTGTTGTTTTTGACAGTTCCTCATCCCAGTTCTATCGATTATCCCAAGCGATTTTGGGAAGGCGTTACTAGGATTGCTGCGCTCGGTCAGAGTGAGTGGGGAGACTTCGATCGAAGGAGGATTCGTCGGCAACGTGATCGAATTTCGCAAGGTAATGTCTTCTCCTTTACTCCTTCTCTATTTCCGTCGTTTCTCTTTTTATTTCTTGTTTTAATACTAGTATCGAAGGATCTTCTTGTGATGGACGATCGATCGATATATATATTTTTTTGTGTTGGTGACTCCACGACTTATACTTCATTCATTCTTGCTTTCAGTTGATTGGGCGTCTAATATTCCTTGTGAGGATCTTAAGGGTAAAAGGTTACCGCTTCCACTGATGGGGAAAGCTGGAGCTTCGGTTGGTGAGGGAATCGATCGCCTGGCGGATGAGGGCTTAGCGGTGGATGAAATGCTTAATCGAGATTCGGATACCCTTCCAAAGAAGAGAAAGAAGAAGTATAAGTCATCTAAGCAAGCGAAGGTTAATTTGGCCGATATCGAGAACGTTGGGAGTGGAGTTGTCCCTAAGTATCCCGCGGGTGACGGAGTCGGAGAAGGTATTGAGGTTGCGCAGGTGGTTGGTTCTGAGCGCCCAGCCGGTGAAAGTGTAGCTGCGGAGAGTCAGCTTGAGTCATCGGCGGCGAAGAGGAAAAGGCCGACCGATGATCACTCTAGTGATGCCGGTGAGAAGAGTTCGAAAAGAGTGAAGGAGAAGTCCACTCTCCCTCGTAAGGATGCGAATCCATCAACTTCGCGCGGCCATCCTTGGGGGGATCGGGTCCTCCGTCCAAGAAGCCTCCATTGGCTCCTTCCGAGCGTTGGGATTTCTGTTACAAGAAAGACACACCTTTTGTTAATGACGAAGTGTCATGTGCCGAGCTGTCACGCAATATCAGGGGAGGTACACGAGAGATGCCGGAAGTCCGTGATCTTGCGTTTCCGGATAAGTTTGCTGAGTCGGCTCGTGCGGATGCTATGGTACCAATTCTTTTTATATTTAACCGATCGTTCATCCTTTCTTCTCTTTTTGTTATTTATCGGCCACGTGTGATCATTATTGTCTTTGTCTTTGCAGACCTCTGCTCGTAAGAACCAGCTCGTCCTGGATTATGAGCTTGCTATGCGGAAGATGGCATCTGACCTCGACAAGGCCGAAAAGGTGATCAAGGCACAGGATGTTGAGTTGGAGAAAGCCCGGAAGAGTGCTTCGGAAAAGACGAAGGAAACGGCTGCAGAACGAAGTCGGAATCAGCGTGAACGCAAGCAAGCTATCGAGAGAGTCGATGGTCTTGAGGAGGACTTGGAGAACGCTCGAACGAAAATCGCGCAGCTGGAGCGAGAGAAAGTTGAGGAGGCCGAGAAGCATAAGAAGGTGATGGACTTCATGAAACAGGCTCGTATTCGCGAAGTTATATCTGAGAGAGGCCGCCTCATGACAGTCGCGACCGCTCGTTTTAACAAATTTCGGAAGTAAATGGCCGATCGGGATGAGCTTGAGACGAAGCTTTGTTTTCATTCTCAAGCTTCGGGGACTTTGCAGTCGTTGGATGTACTAGAGACATGGGGCTTGGAGGTTCCAAAGAGGATGAGGGATACTTTGACGTTTAACGAAAAGAAGTTCAAGCGCGAGGTCGAAGAGGTCGATGATGAGGAAATTACGGAGCGGGATCTCTTTATCTCCTCCTCATTCTGGACCGCTTCAGGGCCTCGATCAGTTCGGGACGAACTTGGGAGTAGTTGATTCCGCGATCGCGGTTTCTCTCTGTTCTCTGGGCATCGTTGGGAGTGCTACCGACGCTCCGGGTTCACGTGATGATGTCCGTTCGTCAGATACTAATGCGGAATATGCCTCGAGTTGTGCAGCTGGCGCCGAGGTGGTCGAGGAGAAGGAAGGTCCGACAGAGAGGGTAGAGGTTTCCACCAAGCAGTCGGTCGTCGATCCGGTTGAACCAAGTGCTTGATTCGTCTGTTGTTGTTGCTTTACTTTATCTTTTATTTGCCTTCTGGTATTTCGGCCTTTTGTATCATGTACTTGGGGATTCGGTTCCACCTTATCGTGGTCCTCTTGTTGTTGTCTTCTTTACGAAATTATTCGAACTTAGACTTTCCGCTATGCCTTTCTCTTTTCGATATCTGTAGATAGAAAATTTGTTCGATTTGCCCATCCACGTTGAATCGATCGATCGGTGGCCGGCTTGGTATAGGAATCGCACGTTGCCAAAATTCTCTTGCATTTGATCGTGGCGGTCACGGTCGTCATATTTCTCCGAGGCCGAGCGATTGATTAATCGGACTTCATTCGTGCTGATATCGATCGGTCGGCCAGCTTCCGGTTCTGAATTGGATTATGACGTGAGTGCTCTTTGTTGATTATGCCAGCCTTAGGTCGCGTCGCTGTTTGATCGATTGTCGTTTATTTGTCGGTCGGCCGGCCAGCTTTAAGCGATGGTTCTCGGTAGTATGAAATTTATTCGGAGTGGTGACTGATCGGAATAGCAGCTGTATTGCTGGCACTATCGTCGATCGGTCGTCCTTTGTTGGGGACTCTTTTCTTGGTTTTTGGTATGGCTATCAGATTTCTCCAACGCA